AGAAGTACTTTTCATTGCAAGATGTACTTTGCGTCAGGGAGATATTAAATCCAATTACGGGTTTTGCCCTACTAATTATATGCAAATTAATTAACAGTGCATACTCAGTGCTTGTCAGAGAGCTTGTGAAAAATTCACAAGTAAGCAAGTAAGCGAAAGCTCTCAGACAAGCACCGAGTATGCGGGGTTAATCAAGATGTATGTTCATCGGTTATAAGGGCAAAACCTGTAATTAAAGTTCTCTTCAGTCTAGCTTTCTAGTAAGGAGTTTCAGACACTACATCTACATGTACATTCTTTACAAGGAAATAAACATGAAGTTAGTGAGGTCTTTAGAAAATGAGTGTCAGAAAAATAATGGAAAATAAACACTTTTCGCTTTTAAGGTGAGAAACCGAGAGTCAACGTGTCACCACATTGTATGTGCATTCAATGTTCAAAATTATATGAATCTTTTAAACACTGACAAATTTTCCAAGCAGATTTACAACAAACTCATGGCACGCGTGCATTTTACAAAATTTTCCTTATGAAGGAGTACAAGTTTTATTATTTTAAAATAACCGCAGCCTACCATATTGATTTTTCTCTGTTTCAGTTTTGGCTTGCCAAGGACGTGAGCGACATGTGTGTGCGCGTGCATTTCATAGGCTCGTGACACCTTCCACCAGGGACAGGAAACCGAGGCCACTTTGGGCCGTCTGGAACATGGACTTGACACCCCTCAATTATTGATCGGAGCTGATCTTCACGGCACCTTAGACGTATCGCGCCACCGCAAAACAACAACAGACTCGGTCGGATGAGCCCCTGCATGATAGCTTTTTCTTGTTGGGTGCAACCCCTCCCCCCCCGATTGTCAACTGTAGCAACGCAAAACTTTTCCAAGAACATGTAGGTGGTTCGATGTGATCCTCACCCAAGCTATCTAACATGGAAGTGCTCAAGGATAAATGTCCATGCCCTGGCAGTGAATAAACTCCTTACAACTACTCTTTATGAATGTATTTGTATATACTGACAAGAACAGGAACAAATTGTTTAGTCTGAAAAAACAAGTCATCACGTATTATTTTCCAACTGCCAGGGTATTCTCAATCTAGCAACCTAGGAACGAAACCCCTCAAGTGCAATAACACGAAATACATTACATGCCAAACTTTACAAGAACATTAACTTGTTGAATTAGTGATTTTTCCCCCCATGAACGCTTGAAGCATTTCTGCTTCGTATGAGTCAGTTTCAATGAATAGCTAATTGCTGAAGGTTACGCCGGCACCAACTGTCCCGCGATTGTAAGCCCGACGTGTTTCGCACTTTCACTGAGTCATAGCCCAACATGTTACCCACGCACACGCGTTCTAGTGACTAGGTTGCATGGATCAGTATGTTATCAGTGTTCAACTGTGATGTTTGCATAAAATTGGAGCGTACATTGTATGCGATGTGTGAAATATTTTACATTAAAATGAAACCGTCAATTTGGGCTTCAGTGAGACTGATCATTTAAAAAATGTAGCGGCGTGTATTGCTTAAGGTTCATACAGCACATGTATATGGACGTTAAGTGTTAGCCATTTCAAGAATTTAGCAAAAATAAAAAAAAGAAGCAGACGTCTCACTTTTGGAGCATCACCTCAACCACCTGGATATGAATTAATCAACAGCCCACGTTACATTCCATCATATTTCCAAGCACACTCCCGGTGAACTGGTTAATTTTTAATTGGGCAGTATCAATTTCATGCATTTCAAATCCTTCAGTCAATTACCAGTATAAAAACGATACACCAAATTCTTATTTTTTTTTTCCAATGCAAACAAACGCGGGAGGCTTCGAAGCCACACACGGGAGGCTTCGAAGCCACACATGGGGGTCCCTCTGGGGACCGCTGTTGAGGTCTTCTTTTCGTCATTGCCGTTTAGCGCACATGGGGAGGGAGAACCAGTCAGACACATCGGCAGTTAAATGAGCAATGACGGCAACAGTAAGAGAGGTGTCGAGAGGGGAGCCAACCCTATGGTTTATTCAGCGGATACCGCGCGCCGTGGTGTGGCCCAAAATTTTTGCCTGTGTTCAGCCAAGAGATTGGGTCAGACTGAGAAGGAGATGGGCCAATTTAGGGGTAGGAAGGGTATTTTAGGACCGCACATGATCAAATAGATGGGGACGAGGCGGGAAAGAGGGCAGGAGAACAACTGAATGGATGACAAGCATGGGTGAATAACTCTGAGGTGGCGACAAAGGGGCATGGGGGTTGCTTACAATTGGGCAAAGGGGAGATGGCCTACTAGGGAGGTGTTACACGGTAGCCCAACGGTCCCAAATCCTCCCCAATCCTCCAACATGCAAAGGGGGAGGAGGGGGTTAAGGTTAAGGCTACAGCACCCGATGGACTGATTTGGGGGGCAGAAACTTACAAAGGGAACTTTAGAGTCTTCTTTGACAGCAGCGAGCTGCAATTTCAAACTCAACGGAGCTGCCACCTGGATTTTATTATTATGATGTTTGTCCCATATGACTCCAACCTACACACTCGTAATTATGGGATGAAACCCAATAACAGGGTTGACAAATGTGTGTATTCTTCCAAACTGCCGCCACGAGTCTCTTTTCTTTTTTTTTTCCCTTGGCCAAAGCCAATTTTGCCTCTTCCCCTGGAGGCTCGTAGGAACCGACTACTTAACTCATTAACATGTAAACTGACCGCAGCAAACAACTTCACCCGAGGGGTTCTATTCCCTGTAATTATGGAGATGGTGTGCGCTCATTGTGGATACATGGACTAGTACATGTTCGGGCAAGCATATTCTACAGTGCAGAAACATTTCCGTCATTAAGATTCGGTGGGGCTTAATTAACTGAAGTTCTTTTGCTGCAGACAAAATGAATGTTATAGTGACAGAAAGGGTTTGTGGGCATCAAATGCCAAAACTGAAGACAAAACAGGTCATTGTACAAAGTGGCCCAGGGTACAAGACATGTATAATCTTCTTCAATTAATCCATTCCTTCATAAAAATTGCAAGACTAAAATAAAAAGTCTAGTTACAGTAAAACTGAAGAAAGGGAACTTTCGTGGGAGGGGGACCTGAGTAACTTTTAAAAAAATAATAAAAAACACCAAAAATTTCTTTTGACCTGATTACACGAAAGAGGATTCAGAGACAATCTCCAGTGAATTTCCCCAGAAAAGCCAATTACACAGAGGAGGACTGGCGGGAGAAACGATGCGCAACTACACACATACAAGTTCACATAGACAACGTGAAGCGAGGTACATGTAATGTAATAAGTGGCTGCTTTCTGGACTAACGCAGTGCATGCCGAGTGCATACCGAGTGTTATCACCGTGTCCTGGGCAGACCGACGACAGTAAATTGGTGCAGGTACCTTGCAGTGTCTCGTCACTGTTCTGGAAAGTCAATTGGATACGGCCGTTGTAGAGTTTGAAAGACAAAGCTGCCCGTGGTAGAAGTCATTTCACAAGCTGCCCGTGGTAGAAGTCATTTCACAAACCACGGAATCATTCCATTTGAAATGAAAGAACCACCCGGTGGACTGTCCAATTAATTTCCATTTCAAGGAGAACGCTGGGTGAACACTTAAGAATGCAAACTAGGAATTCTCATTCAACACTGACAACCACTGTATTCACTTCACAACAAAAAAAATTCAAGTTTGCTGTTCTTCAAAGCCAATTTGTAAAGTAGCAAATGCAAACCATAACAGCAGCATCAACAGTACTACATAATTTACGTACACTGGATCCAAGCATGGAGGAAGGAGGGGGCGATTTTTCAAGATGCACCCTTGACAATCAATAAGTAATTTCAAGGCACACAACCTGAATGTGCCCCCCCCCCAAAAAAAACAGGCGACGAGCCACCAAAAAAAATTTACATTTCCGAGCGACGGGGAGTATTATCTTGCAATTGGTTTCCTGAGGGATCCCACATGCAAATCACGCCCCGTCCTCCTCCACAGTAGCAAAAAGACGGGGGGGGGAGACAGAGAGAAGCAGAAGTGTCTCCTGGAGTCTCCATGCCGGGTTCAAGGGCCTGCAAGCCCAGTAGCTGTGGACAGAGGTGACAAGTGGAGCCTGGAGACACTGGTCCTTGAGTGGCTTTCGGGGAGGGCCGCGACGCAGCCGGAATTTTGACGCTTTCCCACCGCCACGACGCAGGGCCCCATCTTTATCTTTTTTTTTGGTCAACTCAATGTAAATTTTTCCCCCCGCTATTTTAACGAGGGGGCAAGACCGAAAGACCGACTGCGGAGGTAACGTTTCCGACTACTGAGCTTTTTCACAAGGTGTTGCGACGTTACGACGTATCCTTGGCATGTTATTTCACATGGACTCTGATGCACATGTAAGCCTTGATTTGTCTTACTTCATACCTCCAAATTCTTCACTTACAATCCTTATCCTCCATTTTTCTATTCCTATGACACCATAAGTAGTCTTTGCCAATGGCGAAACCTTCTCAGAAACAACGACAAAATGTGACACTAACTTGTGTAAGATTGAACCTATGAGGCCTACTCATTGCTATCCAGAAATGTTCCATTCATATGTACACCATGGGCTGTTTTTGCTGCCTCCAAGAAATTAAATCCCCAGTGTTCAGGAATGCAGAGGGTGTTTTCTCTTCTTTGCTAATGTTTCGAATCTAAATACAGAGCAGCTGCTTATGTGTTAGTAATGAGACTTTCACATATGTATGTAACACCACCCCCCCCAAAAAGGGGAAAAGTAAATTTGTGCTAATACCTAAGAATTGTCCATTTCCCTGGATGGCATGCGAGTCCATCACAGCTTGCTCCTTAATAATGCCGGAACCCATGCACCTGACCTAGGACACTATCTGTGGCCAGCAGAATGATTCTAACCTCTCACGCTTCGCCCACGAGGCGAGAATTCTACTCACAACGCCCTCTCTGCCATTTCCTGACAAAAATGGTAATATCTTTTAAATTTGAGACGCTGAGATACTTACATCTGGGTATGTTTTGACGGGTACGTAGAGCTTTTCCGAGAGCGTAATTGGAGCACCTTGGGGTTCTGGAAGTACGAGAGGCGTGTTGTCATTGTTGATGTTGTACATGTTCTTGCGCACTTTGCTTATTTCTGCAAAAGGGAAGACGGTAAGGATAACAAATTGAGTCAGCGAAGTAAAAAAAAAATTACAAGCAGAACCCCCCAGCTGGTATCTGGAGGAAAACAAATGAACAGTGTCGCATCATACATCAACGCGTGCACGCCCCCTCGTGAATCAGGACCGCAAGCGGAAAAAATCTCCCCAGCAAAAACCCCATGAACTGATAGAGCTGGTCAAACCCTGGAAGTGACAAGCAATTTACCAGTGTAACAAGATCCCTTCTGCATTATATATAAACCGGTATCACCAATATCCACCTATTGAGACCCTCCTGTTATGGCTCCTGGCCGAGGGGGAGGGAGGGATGCTATGAAGCGGGAGGAAACTGCCATTTTTTCTTAAATTTGATCGTCCAAGGTACAACCAGGCAAACCTATATGGGTTGCTCCATGGTGACTATTAATGGTAAATTATGCACTGTCATGAAGCCTCGGTATTAATATCAATGCCAGCTCTGATTTGCCTCATTGCGTCCACTTCAAAGCCTCACAGCGCCCTCGCCTGCCTCTCTACCCCCCCCCTTACACAAACATTCAGGGCACCAATGATTGAAACCATAATACATGCATCAGTGCCGCAATCCAGAGATAACATTCTCAACGTGAGAACAATCCTATCGACTTGAACAACCGTGATACATAGTGCTACTCCAAAGCTTATCGCGTGCGGAGACCTCCAATCTTAGCAGCGCAACTCACAGACCCTCTCTACTTCTCTGCTTGCCCCTTTGACCCCGATTAAACACAGCCGGTTGTTTTGGGGGGGGGCCAGGGGAGGAGGACACGAAGTACTATTAAAATAGGCGCACACTACCAGTATGTTAGTCACAGTGACAGCATTAAACTGGCCAAGTCACACAGGAATCCCTCGATAACATGGAGACCTGTTTGATCTTCCTCTGTTTGCCCATGCCCTTGTTTGGCGCTCTGCTATGAGGTCCTGGAGTGCCTGGCAAACACTGTCCAAATTGACATAGCCCGATAAGAGGCTTAAAATTCTTGTTTACTCCACAGGAAATTTCACAAGCTTCATCCACAATTCATTTTTTTTTCCTTTGTATACATGTAACCATCGCTTTCTCATCAACCGAACTTGTTTGCTCAAGTTTGCCGTCTTCATTTGTTTGTAGAGTCAATTAACACCGTGCTCGTGTTTTGCGAAGCAAAGTGTTTAAATGTGCATCCCGTATGCATTATGTACTGCACGTAACCTTTACAATCCAGATCCCCTTTCAAAAGTTTGTGGGCAACACGGTTCACAAGTTGAGTCACAACAGATTCTTTCACAGCAATGTTTGACAACTTTAATAACGCATGGAATTCATAATACCCGCACCTTTGTATTACATACGCGCACTTGTGTAAACTTACATTGAGATATTGGTGTAAAAGAAGTGGAGTGTACATGTACACACGCACTTTACTTGTAGTGCATGTACATGTACATGTACATGTATGTATGCACATGTACGCTACTCAAAAAATGTTAAGGACCACTTCTTTCTTGGCTTGTAATTTTTTTCCACGCAATGAGCGAGGTCTAGTTCTTTCATTTTTTTGCTTGTCTCGATGATGTTCTCATTGGAATAAAACATCACATTGTATCAAAACATCACATGCACATTTTCAGCAGTAAAATATCTCGTAGAAAAAAAGTATACGCAAAATAAAAAAGTGGTCCTTGACTTTTTTTGCGTAGTGTATGTGCAGTTTTGGTCTTGTAGTGTACCGGTCTTTTGGTTCACTCCTGCCAAATGCATTTTTTTTGCATGCACTAATTAAGCACAGTGATTAGGTTTCTGTAGTTAAGGCACTGAATGCATTGTAATGCACATCACATACACGGTACGCAGTGGGTCCACCCCTTTGAAAGGTCAAGGAATGACATTACGTCATCATCTTCGGTGTGAAAGCATGCAGATCGGGCAGTAGGCCTGCCATGCATGCTTGTGGCAGGAATTGCTGGAACTGCAGATCACATGAATTCATGTTGATGTGTGCGTGCAGCGTCCCATGCATATAACCTTCACATCCGAAGTCTGGCAAAAACTGTGCATAATTTCAATGATCAGTAAGTACCATTTAAGCTGAACCTGTAATAAGCATAGCTACTGCAGTACCTGCATGATCTGTAAATGCTATCATATTACATGGAATTACCCAGCAGTAACTGTGCTAACCTGTTTATTAATCTCACTCAAACTAAGGTAATGTGCATGTATGCAAACACTATGCTTCAGCACTGTACATGTACATGCCTACCCTGAATTTTACACACAGCCCTAAACAATTACATTTACATGTGAATTGCAAAAATACATGTAACGTTTTAAAAATAAATCCCAGAAAAAAAAAGTCATGTTAATGGTACGATTTCATTCAAAACTAAAAAGATGAGGATGTGGGTAACAATAACACCTTTTTCTCAAGCCAATAAATCGCCTTGACATACTTAGTGAGTGGACCCAGAAATTTGCTGGCACCAACTTTTTTCAGTGTAACGTAGTTAACAGGAAAGAGAGGAAACTCGTCCTCAGACAGCCCTTCCAATGTACAGTACATGCCACTTGGCCAACCAGTTCACTCGACATTCATAATTCATCAAGCCACAAGAGCCGTATTTACGGCAGTGGCTGAATAGCTCCAATAAAATTTTATTTGGACAATGAAATTGCAAACAGATGGGGGGGGGGATGACAATTGACACGGGGCGCAGTCGGCCACAACTGGCAGTTACCGACAACGCTGTGATCTTTTGGACTCAAATAAAACAGACCCCGGAAAGCATGGCGACAAGTTCTGTGGCAGATTTTGGAAGAATGTAACTTTTCGGCCAACAGTCGGACACTTGTACAACGTTAGGGTCCAGCTGACGACGTTCATCATTTCCAGAAATTTGAACAGTCCTTTTGACACTCCACAAATATGTTCACGCTACAAATGCTTGAGGTGGACACAAAATTAAATGAGCAATTCAGCACATGCACACAATGAAATCTTTCCTTTTCCCCAGCTCGGCATTATTCTACATAGTACATTACAGTGTTTGTGTACATGCAGTTTGAGCATGCCTCATCCTCATACCCACGAGCAAATGCCGGTGTAAAACACGGGAGATACATGTAAGCTGCCATTTTGAAGCGAGCATATTATACATGGATGCGTGTGCTGAATGAAATGTTTTTAACGTCAATTTCTACTGAAGCTACAAAACAGTTTTTTGTCCTTTTCTTTCCTCACAATCTGATTAAAAATCTCATTGTCAACTGCCGACTGCACACATGCTCTATGTTAACACGAAAATCAAATTACCCATCCAGACGCTAAACAATGGTGAAAACGCGTCTACATGTGCTGCCGATGATATACACGTCACACAGGGCATGTGTCTAGTGTCCGTTCTCTCCCGGCCACCCATGAATAATCTTTAAATATTGATGGGGATGATTTTCTGAGTGATTCAATACGACGCCGGCTAGGGTGCTGCCTGGTTTTCCTTCTGGCCAAATGACTGAGCGCTCACTCATCATAGCCAGATGTCAATTAATTTGCTGAAGTCACTATACTTTAACTTCAAAACTAAATAACATGAACTAATGATGAAAATTTAAAAAAAAGAACATTCGGACCAAAGGAACAAATAGAAATGGGAGGAAAAATGGTAGTCTTCAAGATTGTTGATATCTTGACAGTCTGGAGCTGGACAAACAAGAACATCAACACATATGGATTTCCCAAGGCCTTCAGGGATCCAATGTCATATTCACATTTTCATTAACAGCCATCCTTGACAATAACGAGCCCACGCATTCAACATCTGCTCACACATGAAGGTCTGCACTGGCCTTCATGCAGCATTTGCAGCCAAAATTTAAGTTGTTTTTTCTTCCCATCTCATACATGGGCAGAAAAACTCTCCTCTCTCTATCAGCCACTATCCACTGTCTTCTAAAGGCAAAATCCAACCACTATTTACATGTAGCCTGGCTTCTTTATGAAGACTAACAGTGACCTGAGAAATATTTGGACAGCCTCATACAGAGTTGTGACAGACAACAACAGAGCCAGACAGGAGGAAAGAAACAGACCCTCAAGGAACAAAAGAGGTCCCGCCTTTCTGGCATCCCTCTTCCATATAAGGTCAAAAAATTGGGTAAGAGAACCCCAACCAGCTGAGGGGCTAGGCAAGTCCCTCCCCCATGCAGTTGATTAGTGGTGACTGACAAGTGAGGCAATGGACTCATCCTTGCCTCCTGGCACCTTGGCCAGACATCTGGATTTGTGTGGCAAGGGGAACACAAGCCTGCAGAAATCCCTTGGCTAAATCAGTCTTCCTGTAATTGAGGTAACTTCCATCTTGGATTGGTAACACTCGCTGTTGTGAGGGGGGAGGGAGTTGCAGGGCAGGTAAAAATTGGAAACACTCTCCATTGAGAGACTTCAATGTTGAGATCAGATTCCAGAAGACATTGAGGGGAACATCTGTCATTCTCTTTTCTGATATCCAAACAAGTGAAACAATGTAGGATTTTGGCAGCTAAACATCAGTACTTTTTCAGTTTCAACGGCTACGCAATCAACATTTGCAAAGTAGCTTCCTTGTAAAAATCCAACAACCAGTGGTTACCATTTGCACAGCCACCATTTGAAGTCATAATCATGTCGTTAATTAATTTAGTTCTTTTTTTAATGTGTCGAGTCCAAATGTCAGCTATGCAGGCAACTTGATAATTCCTGTTCTTCATCTGTTTGGAAAGTAGGACTCGGTCCCGTAAAAATGATCAAAATACCAGTGCTTCGTTCCTAACCCCTAGCTGAATTAATTACTGGCATGCTGGTATCCTCTTTTGTTTTTTCTTCCCCTCCAACTACAGACGCCCAAGTGACATCTACTGGCGGCTTATTGATTTATCGCTATTCATGCTGGCTGCTTTAATCAGCCTGAATTCTGACCCTGAACGCCGTTGTAT